TTGTGCCCTCTTGTGTTTATACTGTAGTATACGCGTCAAAATCTCACAGCTCGTCAACAAGATGTGTTCGCATTGCTTGTTCCCAGTTGTTGACAAGTCTGGAACACGTTGTTATCATCTTGTAACAAGGTTGATGAGGCCAACAGACTCGCAACAAGTTGTTCCAACAAGTCTGATATCGTGTGCACGCAACAAGTTGTTAACAAGTTGATGACAACAAGCTCGTAGCAACTTGTTACGAACAGTATGATGTTTGTGATGTTACTCTGAGTGTATACCCACACCGGGCAAGCTTGAAAAATATGAGAATCGAACCTACGACCTTTGGAATACTAGCCCAATGCTCTGCCAACTGAACTACGCGGTCAGGACGGTTCGAGTAAGTGGGCATATTTTTCATTTTTCGGGCATATTTTTCAAGCTCGCCCGGTGTGGATATACACTCAGAGTAACATCACAAACATCATATTATTCACCTGAGTACACAACACCAACACAGAAAAAATCATATTACTAGATTACATTGGTATCGAAGGAACTAGATTCTGTTCCGAAATATCACTTACTCGAACCGTCCTGACCGCGTAGCTCAGTTGGCAGAGCGTTGGGCTAGTATTCCAAAGGTCGTAGGTTCGATTCCCACCGTGGCCGGGCATATTTTTCAAGCTCGCCCGGTGTGGATATACACCCAGAGTAACATCACAAACATCATATTATTCACCTGAGTACACAACACCAACACAGAAAAAACAATCTTGTTACGAACAGCCTATATTAGTCTTGTTGGAACAACTTGTAGCAAGTCTGTTACCGTCATCAAGCTTGTAACAAGGTGATAACAACTTGTTCCAGACTTGTACCAACAACTGGGAACAAGCAGTGCGAACACACCCTGATATCGGCTTCACAACCAACTTGTTTGAAGATCTGTAACAATTTGCGACATCCATCTCTAATAAAAGTCGACTAATCTTAAGTTCAAGAAAATCTTTGAGAAAACTTCAAACATTTTTTGCAGCATTTTCCATTGTATCGTTCCTCTGAGATAAACTGCACAGGACGTGATTCACCCCCTGCAGAGCGTCGTCATATGCAGAACCGAGAGGGCTGGGAGGTGCTATCCCAGAGTGCTTCAGAGCTCTTGATGACGTCACTTCAGCCTAGAGCGATCTTTAATGGTCATACACATCACAGTTGTCGTGTCACACATCGAGGAAATGTCCCAGAGTTCACCTTGCCTTCGTTTAGTTGGAGGAATAGAAATGATCCGAGCTTTGTATTGGTGAGTGAATCGTTGATTCCTGATTTGTCCACCTTTAGGTAGCCCGAGTTATTCGTCTGACTCAGGCTACCTTTAGGAAACCTGGCTAGGAAACAATGTTTCCTGGTTTGTCCACCTTCAGGAAACATGGCTAGGAAACAAGGTTTCCTGGTTTGTCCACCTTCAGGAAACATGACTAGGAAACAATGTTTCCTGATTTGTCCACCTTCGGGAAACATGGCTAGGAAACAATATTTCCTGGTTTGTCCACCTTCAGGAAACATGACTAGGAAACAATATTTCCTGATTTGTCCACCTTCGGGAAACATGGCTAGGAAACCATGTTTCCTGGTTTGTCCACCTTCAGGAAACATGGCTAGGAAACAATGGTTTCCTGGTTTGTCCACCTTCAGGAAACATGGCTAGGAAACAATTCATGGCTTAACTCGCATCTTTCTCTTCCCAGGCGACATTCAACCCAAACGCGTTCTCAGTTCGCAAGTGCTTTCTTCCTGAAGAGAATACTGTAATTTTACTCTACATATTACTGGGAATTTGCAGCTTCTTTTACATATTCTGGAACCATTTTCGAGGGAAATATTACGGTCCACAGGTCTATAGAGCAAGGGTATTTCATCACAGAGAATGAAAATATGTTAGCGTTTGCTATTTTTAGTTTCAGTAATTTTAATTTGACGGAATAAGAATAATTAATATACAGTATATGATCGATATTTGAACAAAACAGCAATTTTTGATTTTAAGAAACTATATATTTTTAATTTAGTGAAGAACAAATGTACAGAGTCGATTACACACGAAAAAAACTTTATCTACAAATATGTATCATCTACACATAAACACAGAACTATTTCACCTAAAGAAATGGGACTATAATTAAAGATATTTTACAATGATCAATTTATGTTAGCTATGCTTATTGATGGATTTTTGACTATAAGAATTCTTTGCAACTGCAAGGAATTAGGGTTAGACCATACAGACAGGTTTGATGACGGTTTTATGTTGCTTATAATTCCACCGTTGAATCGTGCAGGCAAAATTCAAAAATAGTGAAAGTTAACATGGTCCCGCTTTGCAAGAACGGGATAAGAGCTGGGAAAATTTTGGTGATGTAAAGGGAATCCATGTTAACAGACCGTTAACGTTAATTTTAACTGATGCTATGATATTATGGACTTTCGTCAGTTTATGACCGTTATCAGCCAATTCACATTTTTTCTGATAACTCAAATGCCTAGTTACCACTGTTCTGATAATGTAAGCATAGAATGGAACAAAGGTAACCAAGCATTTAAATTATATATGCGAGTGAATTGATAACTCACATGCCTAGTTACCACTGTTCTGATAATGTAAGCATAGAATGGAACAAAGGTAACCAAACATTTAAATTATATATGTGAGTGAATTGATCACTCACATGCCTAGTTACCACTGTTCTGATAATTGTAAGCATAGAATGGAACAAAGGTAACGAAACATTCAATTATACATGCGAGTGATTTGGATGGTAACAATCATAAATACAGAATATTCTATAATCACAATTAAAAGTTTGAAGAAGCTGAACTAGTGCTGAAACTACACTTTATATTAACAAAAATCCAATCCTTTTCAAATACTAAACAGTTCAATGTTCGTAAACTGGCGTTACATGTTTCGAGAGGCGAACGTCTCTGGTTCATGCTGATGGTTTCAAAGGTTTCATGGCTGCGGCAGCGTTTGGAAACATGGTGTGATACTGGGACAATGGAACTGTTTGAGCCAACAGCTGTTTGCCTGCAAAAGAAAGAAAATTACTTTAAAAAGATCGGAATAGCTAGTGTTTACAATACACAAGTAACTGATGGTGTGTTTTTAATGGCCTACAGTAAGTAATTAGTATTCTGTGATTGAGTAGTTATGGAAACTAATATTAGAATGCTGTTTTTAGGGTTTGTAATCCAAGTGAGTATATATACACTTTTAAGACCTGACCAGGAACCGGCGACTGCAAAAAATGCAGCACAAAGTCCTCTGGTAGGAATTGAACCTACGGCCCTGCGATTCCTGCACCGGAATCGCAGGGCCGTAGGTTCAATTCCTACCAGAGGACCTTGTGCTGCATTTTTCGCAGTCGTTCCTGGTCAGGTCTTAAAAGTGTATATATACTCACTTGGATTGCAAACCCTAAAAGCAGCATTCTAATATTAATACCACCAAGTGAAGTGCAAGAAACCAAGATCATTTGATGGAAACTAATACCATGGATCATAACATTTTTTTAACTATCTATGATAATACCAACCTGCAAACCATCTTCCTTGCATCGTTTTAACAGCAGCAACAGCAACATCGGGCGTAGCACATTTCACATAAACATTGCCCTAAAAATACGGTAGAACAAACGTTATAGGTCAATATCGGTTATAACCTACACGTGACAGTACCCTAGCATATATACATGAACTTGTGGTTAGAGCTCGACAACTGGCCTCTGTAGCTCAGTTGGTTAGAGCTCGACAACTGTCTCTCTGTAGCTCAGCTGGTTAGAACTCGACAACTGTCTCTCTGTAGCTCAGTTGGTTAGAGCTCGACAACTGTCTCTCTGTAGCTCAGTTGGTTAGATCTCACAACTGTCTCTCTGTAGCTCAGCTGGTTAGAACTCGACAACTGTCTCTCTGTAGCTCAGTTGGTTAGAGCTCGACAACTGTCTCTCTGTAGCTCAGTTGGTTAGAGCTCGACAACTGTCTCTCTGTAGCTCAGTTGGTTAGAGCTCGACAACTGTCTCTCTGTAGCTCAGTTGGTTAGAACTTGACAACTGTCTCTCTGTAGCTCAGTTGGTTAGAGCTCGACAACTGTCTCTCTCTAGCTCAGTTGGTTAGAACTTGACAACTGTCTCTCTGTAGCTCAGTTGGTTAGAGCTCGACAACTGTCTCTCTGTAGCTCAGTTGGTTAGAACTTGACAACTGTCTCTCTGTAGCTCAGTTGGTTAGAGCTCGACAGCTGTCTCTCTGTAGCTCAGTTGGTTAGAGCTCGACAACTGTGTCTCTGTAGCTCAGTTGGTTAGAGCTAAACAACTGTCTCTCTGTAGCTCAGTTGGTTAGAGCTTGACAACTGTCTCTCTGTAGTTCAGTTGGTTAGAGCTCGACAACTGTCTCTGTAGCTCAGTTGGTTAGAGCTCGACAGCTGTCTCTCTGTAGCTCAGTTGGTTAGAGCTCGACAACTGTGTCTCTGTAGCTCAGTTGGTTAGAGCTTGACAACTGTCTCTCTGTAGCTCAGTTGGTTAGAGCTTGACAACTGTCTCTCTGTAGCTCAGTTGGTTAGAGCTCGACAACTGTCTCTCTGTAGCTCAGTTGGTTAGAGCTCGACAACTGTCTCTCTGTAGCTCAGTTGGTTAGAGCTCGACAACTGTCTCTCTGTAGCTCAGTTGGTTAGAGCTTGACAACTGTCTCTCTGTAGCTCAGTTGGTTAGAGCTTGACAACTGTCTCTCTGTAGCTCAGTTGGTTAGAGCTCGACAACTGTCTCTCTGTAGCTCAGTTGGTTAGAGCTTGACAACTGTCTCTCTGTAGCTCAGTTGGTTAGAGCTTGACAACTGTCTCTCTGTAGCTCAGTTGGTTAGAGCTTGACAACTGTCTCTCTGTAGTTCAGTTGGTTAGAGCTTGACAACTGTCTCTCTGTACCTCAGTTGGTCAGAGCTCGACAACTGTCTCTCTGTAGCTCAGTTGGTTAGAGCACTGCACTGGAATCGCAGGGCCACAGATTCGATTCCTGCCATAGGGGCCGATATAGTTTAGCAGTTACTCCTGGTTTCGTAATATAAACACTTTCCCACTAATTCTTGCTGCATTAAGCCATAGGATTTAATGATACAGGTATACATCCAAATCTCCTTCGTGATAGAAATTAAAGTTATAACCTGCATTGGTACTGGTAGATATGCACTCAGTTTTAGATGCATCACAGTGCAGACTGACATGGCAAGCCGAAATACATCGTGCTTGTTTTCAAAAGAAAAAATGAAAAATTTTAATTTCTCCGAGAAAAATTGTCCGACCAATAGACCTTATGCATAATGACGTCACAAGGCTTGATACCCGCGAGGAATGCTGGTCTTAGTAGTCATCGCCCGGGAAAATTAAACAATTCAAAATGGGCATTTTCGAAATTTTCCCGGGCGATGACTACTAAGACCAATATTTCTCGCGAGCATCAAGCCTTGCGACGTCATCATGCATAATGTCTATTCTTGTCGTGGCCAGGCATTTGTCCTTCCAAGCAGAATACAGGTGTAATTATTTGTAGGTTTGCTACTCCTATATAAGCGCTCGTCGTTATATCTTAATTTGTTTTCGTTTAGGCTGCCAGTCGACATCGCTGCTGTTATTTGGTAAGTACGGTCAATCCTCTTATAAAGTCCGTTTATAAAGCCCCCTCCTTCATTTTCAGGGCTATGCATTGCAATATATATAAGGCTATAAGCAAAACTTACTGAAGTTCAGACATTATTTTCTCTTTGGAGTACCATCCAAAATCTCTTCATTTTAGCATTATTTTACAGATGAAATACTAACCATTACACTTGTTAAGAAGGGTTCGCAAAATACCAGGCCACCCCAAAAATTTGGTTGCCAGCGAGGCCATTTCTGACTATATAGTCTAACCCAGGTTAAATGAAAAACGAACCACGTTACAGTAACTCACGATAAACTCGTGCGAATTTTTAACCATGCGAAAGCTAACGAATCGCCCGTCAAAACCGTTTTATATCATCAATTTTTTGACAACGCCTATGGTTAAAAGTTACATTTCTCGGAACTGTTTCTGGTTTCCGCCTTCAACTCTAGCTTGATCAAGTGAGGTGTCTATATGCCATCATTATGTGTTACTTTAGGTGAAACTGTACGAATCAGAGTTCTTGAAGAATGGTGGTGATGCTAACTGGTTGAAAGGATTAAATTATGTTCCTAAGAAACTACACAACTTACACACCATCAACAAAATACTGGCACACCAACCGTGGACCGTCAACTCTGATAACATGAAGGTTTGTTTGCTTTGTACAGTACATAGCAATAGCTTAGCATTCTGTTTTTAAACCAGTGGCTTTTGAAAGACCTATAAAAGTCTGGTACCAAATATCACAAGCATTGTTTAGGAGCAAGTGACAAGAATGCAATCACACTCATATAACGTAATTGTCTTATTAAATAATGACTATTAAATAAAACTTAAGCTATAAAGTTGGCAATACAGCAAACCGCAATATATGATTCTGTGCAATGCATGCCAATGATGATTTTATACAATCTGTCTTATTTTGTGTATGATTCCTTACAGCTCTCCTGATAAAAAATTAAACAATTAGAATTGAAAGTTACATTAAATAACAACGCTAATCGACATGATTAATTGATTATCTTAGGAAAAAGATCTAATGTCAGTCAAGTCGATTGGCTGTTTAATGAATCTGAATTTTGCTTGTTATGCCCAAAATATAACATGGCCTTTAAATGAACATAATGAAAAAATCAGCTGACATAAATTTGCTTGTTAGAGTATATAAACACCGAAATTACATATTGGATTGCTTTGCTTCGTAGCGGTTTTATACCATTCGTGAATGGTTAAATAAACTACATGATTTTTTGAAACGTATAGGAACTCCGCGAAGGTGAAGACAGTTGGTCATTATCAGAGCTAGTTCAAGCCATCACCATCTTAATTCACTTCCACTGTTTATCAAGTTTCGTATTTGGGTGTGGTGTGACCCCAGAGGTTGATCTGGAGGGCGGACACACCTTTAGACCTCCTTCATTGACCACGGAACAGGATAGGAACGGTGTGCAACAGGCGCTCGACGAAGGAAGATCGAAGAACAAGGAGTTTGTGGCTTTGATGAATGCCGTGTCAAAAAAGCACAAAGATCAACGCGAAGTTTGTGTGGAAAAAACACGGGAGGAGTTTGAGAATATTGCCTCTGATGAAGGTACGCCTTATTTATTTTATTACAGCTAGGTGTCCACGGGTCTTGAAAATCCTGGAAAGTCCTTGAATTGGAAACAAATTCCATGACTGGAAACTAAGTCCTTGAAAATCAGTAAAGTCCTTGAAAGTCCTGGAATTAATTTCCTTCACCTGCAACTGTACCAACATTAGTGATTTTGATTAAAATTACTGAATACAGTGAATTGCTGGTTAAAGTCCAAAATTTGCTGGTTAAAGTCCAAAATTTGCTGGTTAAAGTCCAAAATTCGTGCCATTTTCAAAGATTTTTCCCAGTTCTAGGTCCTTGAATTTACTGAAAAAGGGCCTTGAAAGTCCTGTCAAAAGTCCTTGAATTTCACCTTCACCAAAGGGTGGACACCCTGCTATAGCTTTCTTATGCTGATATATATTGATGCATGGGAAATCTTTATGGATGATTGAATGATAACATTTTTGAAAAGTCGACTGGGAACCTGTCGCAGTGAATATGAATCTTCACTGCTTCAATTCTATACCGCATGCATTAAAGAGCTACTAAATTTATATTTAAGTGAATTTTTCCTATAATCTATAGTTATTACCAGTTAATGGACCTTTCCCCTTATAACTAAAATTTCGATCTACACAAAAATTTCATCACAGCTTGAAAGAGCATCACAAAATTAGTAATATTCCAAAGTTTTGTTGCAAAATCTTGTAAAATGCGGATAACTCGCTTAGGAAAATCTACACAGTATTGTAAAACGTCACTTTATCGCGACTCTTATTTTAATAGAATTATAGTCCACCAGTACTGTATACAGGTGGCGAGCCAATTTCTAGTTTTGAAAGGAAACTTAATTAAAGCATTTTATATCTCGAAAGACTATAAACTTTGTATTTGATGCTGATGATGTCGAAATGTGTATTCTAAATGTCATCGGACTTTTTCCTACCATCGAAGATAACAAAGAACATAAAATTTACCATCTAATACTTAAAGTACTGAATCTGAGCCAATGAACTTGCATAATTTACTAATGAGAGCAAGGCTCCAAGACCAAAAAGTATGTGTGACGTAATTATCAAAAGGGTGCATTATGATTCAGTTTTTCAAATTGCATAAATTGATTTATAAAACGATCTCCCTTCTACTTGAAGCCGGCAATCATTTTGTTTCCCTTACCTGAAATCCTTCATTTTTTATCCTCACTTTTTCATCTAGTTGTGACGGTCAGTGATTCCGACAATCCTTGCACATTACCCGAAGCAAGTTTCGCACATTATCTTGAAGATCCAACCTTCCGATATAAGAACTTCGCTGATAGGCTAGATCGTAACCAATCGCTGAACGTCAATGAGTATTCGTGGGAAGGATACGGCTTCTCATTGGTCGATAGGTTCTATCCTGAGATGGGACAGTTACTCGATGAAAAGTTCAAAGTTTGTGAAAGCCTCACGTATAACACGTAAGTTTCTGCCTAAATTAAACCAACTTTATTTATACTGGATAGCTCTATCAGTTCTAAACTGTTCTCCCTGGAGGTCCAGTAAGGATCATCTCTTATTGATCCAGTGTTACTACAGGAGGAAACCTAAACTAAACTAACTTTATTTATACAGGATAGCTCTATCAGTTCTAAACTGTTCTTCCTAGAGGTCCAGTAAAGATCATCTCTTATTGATCCAGTGTTACTACAGGAGGAAACCTAAACTAAACTAACTTTATTTATACAGGATAGCTCTATCAGTTCTAAACTGTTCTTCCTAGAGGTCCAGTAAAGATCATCGTTCATTGATCCAGTGTTACTACAGGAGGAATCCTAAACTAAACTAACTTTATTTATACTGGATAGCTCTATCAGTTCTAAACTGTTCTTCCTAGAGAGAGGTCCAGTAAGGATAATCTCTTATTGATCCAGTGTTACTACAGGAGAAAACCTAAACTAAACTAACTTTATTTATATTGGATAGCTCTATCACTTCTAAACTGTTCTTCCTAGAGAGAGGTCCAGTAAGCATCATCTCTTATTGATCCAGTGTTACTAGAGGAGGAAACTTAAACTAAACTAACTTTATTTATACTGGATAGCTCTATCAGTTCTAAACTGTTCTCCCTAGAGGTCCAGTAAGGATAATCTTGTATTGATCCAGTGTTGCTACAGGAGGAAACCTAAACTAACTTTATTTATACTGGATAGCTCTATCAGTTCTAAACTGTTCTTCCTAGAGGGCCAGTAAGGATCATCTCTTATTGATCCAGTGTTACTACAGGAAGAAACCTAAACAAAACTAACATTTATACTGGATAGCTCTATCAGTTTTAAACTAGTGTTCTTCCTAGAGGGCCAGTAGGATCATCTCTTATTGATCCAGTGTTACTACAGGAAGAAACCTAAACAAAACTAACATTATTTATACTGGATAGCTCTATCAGTTTTAAACTAGTGTTCTTCCTAGAGGCCCAGTAGGATCATCTCTTATTGATCCAGAGTTTCTACAGGAAGAAACCTAAACAAAACTAACTTTATTTATACTAGATAGCTCTATCAGTTTTAAACTATTCTTCCTAGAGGTCCAGTAAGGATCATCTCTTATTGACGTGACCAACGTTGCCAGTATGTGGCACATCTCGTTACAGAAAGTGTAGACCAGAATTTAAGTTAAACATTGATTAACAATTTTCATCCCAAGCGTCTTACACTTGTATTTTGTATTTCAGAGTTGGTACAGAAGAAAGTGTGGACACGAAAACGTTTCGACAAGCGACATGGAACTACATACACGTACTGTTTGGCCTCTTTCATGATGACTACAGATATAACGAGGTAATACATAATGCACATGCAAGACTGGCGACCATTTCTATGGCGAGAGAAATTATAGAGCATGTTATACATGAGGCTGTGACTTGGAAAGCGATTTCTGGCACAGTGCTACGTTTTCTAAAATGTATTTGCAGAGGAACTGAGCATTGCGTGGTTAACATGGCTCTATTTTTCCATCATAAAAAAACCCAGTTGTTTAACCTTACTGATATTGTCTGTACCAAATTAGAACTGCTGAATTAAGAGTATGTTTTGGAGAAAGTGCGAATATTTTTGTATATAATATAGTGCCAGTTTCCATCTTCGAAAAACCCTTGAACAATTACTTGTACGAACACGCTCTTAGTAGACATTCTTTTCCTCCGGTAGGTAAACAGTTTAATGGAAAGAAGCTACAAAGCATATATTAAGAAGGTCGGTATTGCTGAAATTAAGTATTGTTGACATTTATTAATTACATCTTTGAGGATTACAGTGAAACATTGCAGATAATATTCAAAGGCATAATCATCCAAGTTGAATGGTCATGCTGATAATATTTGAAGGCATAATCATCCAAGTTGAATGGTCATGCTGATAATATTCAAAGGAATAACCATCTAAGTTGAATGTTACATTCAAGAAACACTCGTCAACCTTTCATTTTGTTAAAATCTATAACTTAAAATGTCCCTTGCCACATTGTGCGATTCTCATTGACCGGCTTACGTTTACCCTGATGTGCCTTAATCCACTTCTATGCAGAATTCATACTGTAGATGTTGTTTAGACCGTGTTTCTATATATTGAGGACCGTTGGCACCGTTATTTTAATCATTCTCCATAATCTCCTATTTTTTTCAATGATAATTTTTCTTTCTAGGTCGTCTGTTATCCTGAACAAACCACGCAAAATGATTACCTAAATTGTATACAACATCTCACTCACTCTGAGAAGGTAAATACTAAATATTATCATTGCTTAACAAACAGATTAAGCGAGAGAGCAAGCGTTTCTCGCCTCTGAGCTCGTGGCTTCGATTCTCGCTCTTATGTGAAAAGAGTCGGTCATTTCATTGATATCCAACCAATGATTCCGTGATTAAAAATATTCTATCACATTTGTAATTTCATAGATACTCGAAACTTTTATTCAAAGACTTTCAGAAGTTTTGAGGGAAGGGTATAGTTGCCCCTACCCACTCCCTCGCTAGTCTCTGCCACTGTTTCCAAACTTTCGGGAGAATGGGTAATTTCAGCTATAGACTAAATTTTGATCTAGACAGGATGAACGAAACCATTACCATAGCTGGAAAGAGCATCTTAAAATGAGTAAAATTTGCAGAGTTTGGTTGCGAATTGTTGTAAAATCAAGGAAAGTATAGCCCTGCGAAGTTCGCAAATTTTGTATATATTTGCATTACGCGCGGGGAAAATAAACATTTTTGAACCCAGAATGGTTATTTTTCCCGCGCGTAATACAAATATATATAAAATTTGCGAACTTCACAGGGCTATATTTTCCTCATTTTACAACATTTCGCAACCAATCTTTGCAATTGTACTCATTTTAAGATGCTCTTTCCAGCTATGGCAATGGATTTCGTTCATCCTGTCTAGATAAAAATTTCGTCTATAAGTGTGGAATCAACCATTTTCTACAAAATTTGCGAACTTCGCAGGGCTATATTTTCTTCATTTTACAACATTTCGCAACCAATCTCTGCAGTTTAACTCATTCTAAGATGCTCTTTCTAGCTGTGGTGTTGGATTTCGTTCTTCTTGCCTTGATCAAAATTCAGTCGATATAGCTGGACTCACCCCTTGGCAGTTTGTAACATTTATTATTTTTCCTTGTAGGTGCATATCAACCTCATCGCATTCGAAGCAAGAATGCAAGCGGAACTGTTGTACGCCCTCCGCGCTGTCATGAGGTAGCTATAGCGGAAAACGGTGGAGAATATAGATATATATAAATACATAGTATAATATAGTAGAAATCCTATACAGAAGAGAGTTTATCATTTGGCACCAAGTGTGAAATTTAACTTATTACATAGAGATGTAGCATGTTATCAGGGGTTGAAATAAGCGAGCTAATTGGACAAAATGTTCCATCTAGCCAGCAGATGTTTGGCAATTTGCGAACACATTAAACAACTGATTTTTTATGTTATTTATTTCCAAAGAGAATACTTCTTAACACGTTGAATTAGGGACCAGATCTTATCTTATCGATCGCCCACTTTTATGGGCAACTAAAAAAAATTAAAAATTTCAACCCCTGTCTTGTTACCGTTTACTTAACCGCATGTAAGGCGAACACAAGAGTGTCCCATTGACTGCGTCTAAGGATGAACACTCACAAACACATGTAAAATGGCCTATGTTTTGGTGTTTAACTATAGTTTTCGCGCGTTGAAACATTGAAAAATACACTCTCTAACAAAATCAGGCTGTTTTTAGTGGGGTTTTTATACCGTTCATCCTTAGACGCACGCTGAAAAAATATAGTTATTTTTATGGTGAAAACACATCATCAACTATTTGAAATTTAGAAATGCCATAATTTTTCTATGGTATCGATAAACATGAAGACTTTGAAATCTTAAGTTCAATATATATGCAGCCTTGCATAATAATATATTTAAGTCAATAATAACTCGCTTTTTTACTCTGGAATATGTCCATGAAAAAAGTGTTGATTTTTGAGCCGCTTACAGACATGAAAATTTTTGTGTTCATTTTTCATAGGGCAATTTCAGATCTGTTTCCATCATGACTTATGACACAAGGGCATTTAAACAAGTGTGTTTGTCAAAACCACTTTGCAAGCTTGTCTATTTGCACACAAGCGAATCAAACGTTTCGTACGAAAACTTCTCAAAGAAAACGTTTTTGGTACGTGTAATATTTGGGTCATTCTGGGAAGTAACGTAATATATCTTCATAGTAAAAACCTCATCTTGTTCAACTTTTCAGCAATTTTGACAGTGAAAAAGGCTTTTTACTATAAATTACATTTCGCCTTAAAATGACTCAACTATTACACACATAATGGCCGTTAATGATGAGAAAAATAAATTTCACATCCTTCTGAAAGTATTTAGCATCGGCTATAGAGACTCGTTTCCTGATTGAGATATTGGCATTACAGTCTTTTATCTTGTTCAATACATAAAGGCTTACATTATCTAATCAAATGATATGATTTCGTATAAATGTGTCGCATTTCAATTCCGAAAACGAGGCCTCCGTTTATTTTAACGAGGCCGCTATTTATTTTAACGAGGCCTTTAAGTATTTTTCAGAAACGTGTAATGCTGTTATTTTCTGGGACTGTGAAATGGTCACTTTTGTGCTCTGTAATTTTTTTACGATAGTTTATTTCTATTTATTGCGAAGAGAAGGCATAGTTCGCGAGAAATGCTTTCTCGATATTGATAATGAATGATTTTTGAATATTTGTATATCCGTAGTGCAGAATAAATCGGATGTTAACTATATCGTGTGATGATTCCCATCTTTTATTAACCATATTGTCAATATTGGCTGTTCAGTCTCACTGTTCTTCATGCCATCCAGTCATGACCCAGTGATCAGAATGTTCCATTGTCTTTTCATTGTTTTGAAAAACCCACTGTTCTCATGTCATCCAGTCATGATCCAGTGATCAGAATATTCCATTGTCTTTTCATTGTTTTGAAAATCTCACTGTTCTCCATGTCTTCCAGTCATGATCCAGTGATCAGAATGTTCCATTGTCTTTTCATTATACTTCTAAAACTTTCACCTCTGGTCATCATTAATTATATAATTCAATTCACTTTCAAACAGGATTTTTCAAGAGGTTTACTTTATAAAACTGTCCGAAACGTTGTTAAAAATAAAGTAAACCTCTTGAAAAATTCTGTTTGAAAGTGAATTGAATTATATAATGAATGTCTTTTCATTGTTTTGAAAATCTCACTGTTCTCCATGTCATCCAGTCATGATCCAGTTATCAGAATGTTCCATTGTCTTTTCATTCTTTTGAAAATCTCGCTGTTCTCCATGTCATCCAGTCATGATCCAGTGATCAGAATGTTCCATTGTCTTTTCATTATACTTCTAAAACTTTCACCTCTGGTCATCATTAATTATATAATTCAATTCACTTTCAAACAGGATTTTTCAAGAGGTTTACTTTATATAACTGTCCGAAACGTTTTTAAAAATAAAGTAAACCTCTTGAAAAATCCTGTTTGAAAGTGAATTGAATTATATAATTAATGTCTTTTCATTGTTTTGAAAATCTTACTGTCCTTCATGCCATCCAGTCATGATCCAGTGATCAGAATGTTCCATTGTCTTTTCATTGTTTTGAAAATCTCACTGTTCTCCATGTCATCCAGTCATGATCCAGTGATCAGAATGTTCCATTGTCTTTTCATTGTTTTGAAAATCTCACTGTTCTCCATGCCATCCAGTCATGATCCAGTGATCAGAATGTTCCATTGACTTTTCATTGTTTTGACAATATCACTGTTCTCCATGCCATCCAGTCATGATCTAGTGATCAGAATGTTCCATTGTCTTTTCATTGTTTTGAAAATCTCACTGTTCTCCATGCCATCCAGTCATGATCCAGTGATCAGAATGTTTCATTAAAGGAATACAGGATTGCGTGATCCATGCACTAGGGATGTCGCGAGACTTTCGGAAAGCGTAAAAATACTCGAGCCGCAGGCGAGTGTATTTTTACGCTTTCTGAAAGTCGAGCAACATCCCAAGTTGCATGGATCATGCTATCCTGCTTGGAAAACCATTTGGTAATTGTTTTATAAAATAACTACAGTGAAACAATGACATTTTGAAAATCCCGCGAAGGCATTTTAATTCCTCGTGCAGGATAGCCTTATCCTGCACGGCTATTGACCAATCAAATTGCGTGTTTCACTGTAGTTATTATATAATGTCTTTTCATTGTTTTGAAAATCTCATTGTTTTCACAACCTCGTTCCCAGGCTCTTCCCCTGAAGAGCGTAGCCCGCATCCAGCCTTTGCCCGCGCCAGGGTAACGCGGGCGAAAATTTTAGCAATGGCGGGAAATTGAAAGAGCTTTAATATTAAAAGCCAACTTCAAATCGAGTTTTAGATCAAAATATTCGTTCTAAAACCTTTATTTTTTCGATTTTATCTAAGTATAACCACTTATCTTTAAAGAGTGGACAATATTGTGTTCGTAGCGGTTTCAAAAGAGCTGCAAATTCCTTCAAAAGATGTCATTTTGGAAAGCTTACTGAATTACAACAATACAACACGTGGTTGAAGTGATGTTTTTTTGGCCTCGATACCAGCGCCGTTATCTGTTCAGAAGTTGCTGAAAATACTCTGCTGTGACTGCTTCTAAGGTATTTGATAATAGGACTTGTTCTTGTGTTCATATAGTTTAAATATTGATGTATGAAAGATATATCTCAATTTGGTGGGTTTTATTAAAAGCAGGATTTTATAATATTCAACCAGTGTAGGTATAGTGGCAATGATAACAAGCTTTCATTGGTAAGGATTCAACTATCTAAAAAAACAAAGCGAAATTCGACGTTTTCAGCCAAGGCCTTTTTTGGCAATGCCCAGATGATGTTAAATATTCTTGATTTCTGGGCCATATTAATCCATCAATGTACAAGAATATTGCCTTGATGAGTAAAATTGTCTGGCGTTAGATGGACATTGGTACGGTGCATGGTAGTTTATTGTGTTAAGACACATTGGGAGATATATAGTGTGGTTAACCCATTGAGTACATTATGCCCCAATTCACCCAAATTACTCAGTCTGATGCATTTAGGCTTAAAAAATACCTGTGGTTCAGGTTTCATATCATGAAAAATTAGGGTAGGCAGGTCAGAAATATACTCTCAGGATTTTGACGGGTTTTTGCTGGGCGAATTTCAGTAGAGTCCCAACATTAATGTTGAGAGATGCATAATTCCTATGGGCGAATTTAGGCAATTTGGTTCAAATAATTATTTTGACAACTAATGCCATTTAGACATGCTGCATGAGCAACCCGCAACCACCCAGAAGAAATAGAGTTGCACGATCAATTGTGTCGAAATAATAATAGGGTCAGCAGAAAAAATAGGGTCGGTCGGGAAACCGGAACCACAGGTATTTTTTTAGGCCTTATCATTTGTGTGTGTGGAAACCCCCGGGTATTTGCAGGCCTTAAAATATCTTTTACAGGCCCGTCTGACAAAACGTCGGATGACTTTGAGTTTGCGTCGAACATATATATGATGATGTCCGATAACCTTCAGTTCTGTTTGGCTCGGAAATAATCTGAATGCCACAAATAAATATCAGCACAATGTATTAATTCTGAACTAAATGTTGTGAAGATATTAAATAGTTTGTGTCATTCATACTTACTTTCCAAGCCAAGATTATCTTGCTTGCCAATATTAGCAGTACTACTAATTCGACAATTTACTGTCGTTCCAATTGAAGTGTTGCTCAAATATTGATTCAATACATTACCTCGGGCTGACCAATTCATTTGATCAAGTTCCTCGAGATATTCATACACTTCCTGTGAAAGAGCCAATTCCAAGTATTTGATCATTTCTGGTCACTTCCTTTCTATTTATGATTGGCTAGTTGCACAAACAACAAAGGTGATTGGTGCATTCAAACTATTCAACAGGAAGTTTACAATTATACTAGGAAGTGTATGAATACCTCGAGGAACTTGATGAAATGAATTGGTCAGCCCGAGGTAATGTATTGAATCAATATTTGAGCAACACTTCAATTGGAACGACAGTAAACCCGTTTTCCACTTCACCATTTTGCTCGCTACCCTGAGTTCAGTGACATTATTAAAAACATTTCCGGTTCATTTTTGTACAATACTCTAATTCTCCATTATAACATACTGTACGAGCCTCTAGTCCTGAACTAGGGTACATTTTGATTTACATGCATGGAGAAAGTGTCAGACAAAGCTACAGTTAGGTCGGACACCAGTTCACTCGGGTCGGACAAACAATAAATCTCAGTTTCACTTAGGTCGGACAGAATGTCTGGTGGTTTCCTCTCTATGTCGGACAATTTCACGAATGGGTCAGACAAGGTCCGTGACCGACCGATATTTTAAGGCATGTGTTTAACATTTGTAAATGTTCTGCGTCAAATCCCCAACCTTCGGACAGGGAAAACCTGTAAAATCCTTCCCGGGCAGGGTATACCAAACCAAGTTACTTACGGCACATTGGGTTAACAAGATACATTGCAGGACAGGTTGGTTCATTCATTAATGTGCCAGACTGTCCCCTAGATAAGTAAAATTGTCTTGCAGTAGACAGAATACAATAATAAATTAGGGTGAAATACACCTCAAATCTTTAAAATGCACCCTTCTCTAATATTCTACTCCGTCGAATGCCTCACAATTTTACTCTTCAAGGAAAGAGTTCAGCCCTCAATGGGTTTATCATACTATGTTACTTGCAGGCTACGTATGTGACAAAGAAACTATATACCAATGCTAATGTTACTTGGTTAAAGTGAAAGTCAAGTCCGTTCTGTGCATCGGTTCTGCTCAACAATGTGAGGACCCTCTAATGTAAACATTACCCAAATTTCGAATGTTTTGAATTTTTCTGAACATAAACTCTATTTCATATTTATTTAGATGCATAAGCGAACCAAAATGGTGTTAGATATTGAGACAGTACATCATTTTTTTAAAAATACAGTAGTTCAAAATGTAAACAAACCGTTTTCAAACCGCTGAGTCCATTCACACTTTTGCACGTCTTGTACGAATTGTGTGTAATGAACTTTCTTATTGATGTGGAACATGGAAGTGACGGAACTGATTGCGACAGTATTTTGTACTTTTATATATCATACCTTAAAATGTAATTCCTATAAATAGCTTATATCTAGACACAGGGCCCCTATGGATACCAGCCTTCGTGCTGAAAGGGCCACCCTGTTTAAATAAAGTTTTTCCATTCCATTCCATTTGTTTACATTACGGACTTGACTTCCACTTTAATCTTATTCATTATATATGTGATAGCTTGCGAACAGGCTCTTTGAATTGAGTTAGAGAGCTTGTTCGCAGGCTATATATGTAACAAAGAAACTATATACTAATGCTAATGTTCCTTGATTAAAATTAAAGTTAATCTTATTCATCTTAGACAACAGCAATTGAACTATATATGTGACAGAGAAACCATATACCAATGCATATAAGCCAATCAAATGTAATCCTTGGAAAACCACAACATTGTCCAATCATGTTTGGACATGTTAATTCAATTGGATTTACAGATGAAGAACTTGCAAGGTCAGTTTTTAATTAGTTGTGGGTATCAAGAAGCACTTAATTGACCCTTTGGTGTCCTTTGGTCTCCCCTTTGAAATTGACACATGTTTTTATTGATTGAAACATGTTTTTATCGATCGAAAGTAATTTTTTTATGACATGAAAGGTTTTTTCGAAAATTTTCAGAAAGCTTGGACTAGTTTCAAGGGTTTTTTTTCAATGTTTTTGAATTTTTGAAAAATTTCCTGTGGGTCAGCCTTTGCATATGACCAAAATGTTTTAAAATTTAAAACATGTTTTTATAGTTTGAAAGTGATTGTTTTGATGACAGGAAAGGTTTTCGACAATTTTCAGAATTTTCATGCAGGGAACTTTTCAATAGGGAAAAATTGAAATTTGTGCAAGGGATTATATTTAAAAAAATTATTGACACAAGCAAAAAAGTGCCCCACCCCATCATATGTTGTCAGTTTATATGGCAATTAATATTCTTTGATTGTTTAGGTATTTTGTGTCAAGAGAACTTTATAATGTCAGTCATGAGAGGCAAGATTATTTTTAGACCAAAGAGAATTATTTACAGTCGCTGTCTTGAATCTTGTAAAAAAAGGTTAGTTTATAAAACGCCTTCCCGGCAATGTGGCATGAAAATTATAAATTCTGAATAGTAATTTTAATTATACCAGCTTGTGATTATACAAGCACTCGAAGGGAGAAATGTATGGAATACTGATGGTATGACATAGTCCAACCGGGGTTACGATCACGCCAGGTTACGATCTCAGGGCTGCAAATAAATATTTGACTTGACAGGACAAATGTCTGATCACTTTTAATTTTGGTCGGACAAAACCAACATCGCTAAATTTGGTCGGACCTATACGTCACAAGATATATATAAGTCACGAGACAGGTATTATTATAATATGCCATTTCAGCGCAACGTTAAGTAAAATTATATGCTAGATCGCCTTGTAAATTTTATTGCAAAATGCAAATTGAGTGAATTTGCAATCGGATTTTGTCACAGCAAAAAATGTATAATGTGACAATTTTTTTGTGATCTGACCAATGACCGATCAAAATTACTTTTGCTTGGACATTTGCCAAATTTAGTAAGACATTGTCCGATGTCATTCTCGTACCCAGAGCCCTTCTTACGCGCAGTGCGACGAGGAGCTCTGGCCAAATCCATATTCCGAACTGGCATCTGATTGGCTACTTCTAACACCAGATATTGTTTACTTACCATGTTTTTATGGCATCCGGTTATGGATTTGGCCAGAGCCCCTCGTTGCACTGCGCATAAGAAGGGCTCTGGGTACAAGAATGGTCCGACGTCTGACAGTAATTTGCAGCCCTGCTATCTTCGACTTATTACAAAGCATTGCAATGGGGATATCACGCCCAAATGTGGCATGAAAATTATAAATTCTGAATAGTAATTTTGTATTCCAATATTAGAATAATAAGCGGAAAGCTTCACCTCGCCTGCGTGGCAGGCGGTTTTTAGGGAGGGAAATACCTAATTTTCGCTGCCTGCAGATACACCGCCTGCCACGCAGGTTGACCAATCAGGGAGATCGTTTTGTAAATACCCACCAATCAGAAGTCTGTATTTTAATGTATTCCTGAATCCTGAGAGAAAATTATATTCAAATTTAGGGTGGGTGCTCGAAGTCTCGAAGGCCTCGCCTGTTTATGCAGAAAAGAACTAAAGAAGTACTTTAAAAATCGAAATACAACGCTTAAATACAGCAAAGAAGCACAAAACCCGAAGTTAAAGACATAGTTAAGGTATGTCCTATCAATTTGATGTGAAATGTTGATATTTTAGCGAGTTAAAGTGGTTGAAAATACTTGTCGAAGTTGACGATTGCAAGTCGCTTCGCGTTCGTGTTGTTGTCTTGTTGAGTTGTTCTGACATGAAGATATTGAATTATAGCTTAGGTTTTGTGAAGTTTAGTTTAGTTTAAAGGATATGACAATAATAATTAACTTTGTCTTATTTGAAAGAACTTTTAAAGTTATATATTGTACAACTTTTTCGTACCTTGCTTGCTTTTCGAAATAGTTTGACCAAAAACAATGTGCAGTCTTCCATCTTGGTCTTATAATTGCCTAATTAGCTAAGGCCAAGTAAAAAAAATTCCCGGTTTCTCATCAGCGCTCGCATTAGGAAATAGCCGCCGCATTTGTATTTTATTTTTATTTTAAAATAACAATTACATGAAATATTTAGCGGTGGGTGGTGAGCAGTGTAATTATTTTTTCAAATGGCCGCCACCCTCATGTTTGTTTTTTATAAATACTGTATTTTAAATAAATATGCATGGTAGAATAGTGGTTTTTATTAAACAATTTAAGTTCTGTTGTTAAAAGAAAACTGGTTGTTCAATATCAAAAATTAAAAAAAAACGCCCGTCGCATTTGCATTTTAAAAAACGTCTGATGAGAAACCGGGAATTTTTTTACTTGGCCTGATTAACTGAGTTTTAGATGAGTGCATAAAGTATTTTATAGGTTATTTTGAAGCTAACTTTGTTTTAAAATTTGTCATTTTAGCGAAAATAAGAAATGTTGAATCGTGTGAATGTGGTCCCATGAGTTTAATGATGCTATGATGGCTGTGGAACAGAACACCTTCTTTCCTGGTTGCTGTGAGGAGACATTGGACATTGTAATGAATGGTTTATCATGTGTATCACTGGCAAACCTACACCCCTACTGCGTTAGGCAGTCAAGTATTTTTAACCTGCACTTTTTTTTATTTTCCGTATTTTTCTTTTATGTTCATAAATATCATGACTAATGACTTTACATAAAGCTGGAAAGAGTTGAGATCCCCACTCAACTGCATGCTTTCTGAATATTATAGACTCCATTTTACATGCTACCATTTTACCAGCAAGAATTTTTTGAAAATTTTGAGATTTGAAAGCCATTGTATAAAAATAGGTCCGCATCGCATACATATGGCAAGTTCATAGCATGCATGGGCAGTGGCATTTCAACTTTATTATTTTTCCAAGGTCTCTGTGAGACTTCGAATCATTCAGCATGAACAAGCAGTACATGTAAAAAGAAAGGCGCCGCTTTTTGGGTGTACTGTTTGTCCGTGCCGAATGGCTGGAAGTGTTGCAGGTATCTTGGGATATCTAATAAAGTTGTGATGTTATTTCAGTGCTGTTTCTATAAAGGGCAGCTTGCTATGGCTATATGCCTTAGCCTAAAAAATTTCAGTTTTATTTCAAATTAAACATTTTAAGTACTGTTAACATAAAGGACAGCTTGCTATGGCTATATGCCTTAGCCTGAAAAAATTTCATTTTTCAAATAAAACATTTTAAGTATCGTTGCCAAAAAGAAGAGCTTGCTGTGGCTATATGCCTTAGCCAAAAATAACAACTACGGTTGACTATATTCAGGGAGGGGGGCAGGGGCATTCACCAATATTGCTCAAGTTTTTGAAATAGACAGTTCTGTTTATTGATATTTCAAATTTATTAAGACCTAAAATTCACTGCCTATGTGTGTTTTAGTTAGGCCAAAAAAAATATGCGGGTTTACTATTTCTTGTAAAAACTAAGGTTAAGGGTAGGTCGATTTTAACTTATTTTTTTAATGTTCCTAACAACCAGATGCCATTTTGTTTAGTCAGAGCTTTGACATTCAAAGATAAATTTCCCTAATATTGCCTCAAATTTCCATTTTTCACAAACGTTTTCCTCTAAGTGGAAACACTTACAAGCATGATCCAATAGAAAAAGTTTAGGTTCGGGATTTCGGCATCCAATCACCTAGGTAGGGTCAGGAAACTGGAAACCCACATCTTTTTTTTTGCCTTATGATGAAAGGCAAGTATAAAGTGCCATTCATGGCTTTGGGGTATAAGTGTATATATGTTTTATAAAAATGTACATAGTGTTATTAAACTGTATGCTAAAAGTTCTGTTGACTGTTACAGTGGTGGCTTGTAAGTGGGGGTAACTTGCTAGGACTTGCACATTTAAATATTTACAAGTGCATTAGGTCTCTTAGGTTTTAGTTTAAGACCAACATGAACGAGTGAGATAAACTCGACTAGTTTAGGATAAGGCATCAAGCGTGGTTTCCATGCACTAGACCCCTCAGGATCGGACCCCAAACCTTTTTTCAACACCAAATGTGAAATTACCCCCACCTTACCGCATCGTTGAAGAGTTATGGTGGATATCTTGGACAAATGTGCATTTTCTTGGTGGATATCTTGGGCAAATGTGCAATACCATCAGGAATATCTTGGGCAAATGTGCAAAACTATGAGGGATATCTTGGGCAAATGTGCAATACTATGAGGGATATCTTGGGCAAATGTGCAATACTATGAGGGATATGTTGGGCAAATGTGCAATACTATGAGGGATATGTTGGGCAAATGTGCAATACTATGAGGGATATCTTGGAAAATATCTTGGATAAATTGTTATGATTACTTATCTTAAATTACTGAAGAAGGAATCTATCGTAAGGTTAGTGGATATTTATAATAGCGATAAAGTGGGGGTTCCCTGCTTAAGGCGTAAAAAATATACCTGTGGTTCCGGTTCCCGACCGACCCTATTTTTTTTTCTGCCGACCCTATTATTTTTTCAACGCGATTGGCCGTGCGACCCTATTTTCTCCAGGTGGTTGCGGGTTGTTCATACAGCGTGCCAAAATGGCGTCTGTTGTCACACTAATTACTGAACCAAATTGCCTAAATTTGTCCATAGGAAATACGCATCTCTAGTTAATGTTGATATCGGGACTCTACTGAAAATCGACCAGCAAAAAAACCGCCAAAACCATGAAAAAAATATTTAAAAAAAAATTTATTTCCGACCTACCAACCCTAATTTTTTCACGATATGAAACCGGAACCACAGGTATTTTTTTTACGCCTAAGGAATGGAGTAAGACTGCCCAATTAAGTGGAAACCATGGAAATGCAGACCGGAAAATGCAGACTGAAAAAACTACAGAAAAGCGTTTGCTTATTGTGATATACAGAAAGAGAGCAGTTATTTGTAAATTACAAAGTTTCAAGCTGTTGCATTGTTTTACAGAGTTGTAATTACACTAATTAAGTGTCGATTTTTGCAAACAATGTTGCGTTCAACTGATCTGACACGTTTGGTGCATGAATGTGTAAACATACACAATATAATCTGTTGGACTAGAATGGTAATATTAATTAGAAGTTTCATAGAATGATAGAAAGAAAAGTTGCATTCTGAAGTTGAGTTTTTTGTTTCATGTAAATTAAAGTCATAAAATTGCAATCCTATTATGAGTTGTTCGTGCATGCGTTTGGAATCAAATTTTAGAGCTATGTATAATCTAGTCTCTTTTTGGCAATAACATGTTTTCTTCAATCCTCTTACAGGGAGCGAATGCTTTTCTGTAGTCTTTTTTCAGTCTGCATTTTCTCGTCTGCATTTTGTACTTGCCGGAAACTTTCATAATAATATTTAAAGGGGAAGTCAAGTCCGTTCTCCGCATCGGTTCTGCTCATAACAATGCGAGGACCTCTAATGTGAACATTGCCCAAATTTCAAATGTTTCGAATTTTTCTGAACATAAACTCTTTCGTATTCATTTAGAAGCATAGCGAACCAAAATGGTGTTAGATATTCAGACAGTACATCATATTTTACATTACGGACTTGACTTCCCTTTAATATTTGTATTGCGCAATTTTACAGATGTATATGATCAAGCGTGCATTACAATTATTACAGCCGGAACTGGCGTGAAGCAGACCGAGGTAGACTGTGTGAATGATGCTTTAAGCAGCCGCTAGTAGTCCATACCTCATTAATGATCTGTCCCCTAACCTATGTGCCTAACCCACCCTGTCAACTGGCCGAAACAATATGGCAGAGTGTAAATATGGCCGTAAATATGGCGGAGTGTAACAATCTAACAATATGGCGGATCTGTAAAAATGATGCATGTTTAGATATAAATATATCATGAAACATGCTTCTTATAACTACATGCTATGTTTATAGGAATTTGAATAAGTTTTTGGTAGGCATGATTTAGGATTTTTGTTTTATTTTCATTTATGATTTTTTGTAAATGCCCCAACTAGTTTATATATAATAATGTTTAGATATAAATATATCATGAAACATGCTTCTTATAACTACATGCTATGTTTATAGGAATTTGAATAAGTTTTTGGTAGGCATGATTTAGGATTTTTTTTTTATTTTCATTTATGATTTTTTGTAAATGCCCCAACTAGTTTATACAGTATATAATAATGTATAGTATATAGATTGTAAATTTTGTAATACAGAAAATAATAGAGTTCATATAATGTATAAGTTTTTAGGGTCAAATTGAATAAGTTTTTAGTAGGCATGATTTAGGATTATTGTTTTTATTTATGATTTTCTATAAATTATGTCCTCAACTAATTTGCGAGCCTGAAGTGAGCGGGCGAAGCAGCGTTTTAATATGTACAGACAGGGGGTTTTGAAGTAAATTTTATTTAAGTATTGTATTGTTGTCATGAGTGCTTGCTATGCACAGAACACACTTGCTATGCACAGATTAACAGTGTCCCACAGCAGTATGCATTATAAGTCGTCGATCAGGAAAATATAATATTTCACAAAGTAAAAGTTTTAAGTTGAGTTTTAAGTAGGTATGATTTAAGATTTTTGTTTCTATTTATCATTTTCTATAAATGAGGTCCCCAACTAATTTGAGAAATAATAATGTATAACATATAGTTGTAAATTTTGTAATATAGAAAATAATAGAGTTCCTATATACCATAAACCTGTGAATATAAGTCTGGGCTTATATCTATCTACCTAGCAGTACAGTCAGATTTGTAAAATAGATTTTAGACATATCTTTATAATAATCTTTATACAAGTCATATAAAGAACACATTTTATGTGTATAACAAAATGTTGAAGTGTTTATTTTTGTAATATGTTCTTGTAATCTACCTTATTTTATTCTGGAAATGTATGTAAAAGAATTATGAGAGTGCATTTGTACTATATTTCAAATATTGTGAATATATATTGTGTTTTTATTTCCCAGTATATTTATTTTATGTTTATAAATATCATGACTCATGACTATGATTTTTTATAAATGGCCCAACCAATTTATATATAATAATGTATAATATATAGATTGTAAATTTTGTAATATAGAAAATAATAGAGTTCATATAATGTATAAGTTTTTAGGGTCAAATTGAATAAGTTTTTAGTAGGCATGATTTAAGATTATTGTTTTTATTTATGATTTTCTATAAATTGTGGCCCCAGCTAATTTGTGATTGGTGTGTGGCAGGAGAGACTGAAGCAAGTGGGCGGAGCAGCATTCTAATATGTACAGACAGGGGGTTTTGAAGTAAATTTTATTTAGGTATTGTATTGTTGTCATGAGTGCTTGCTATGCACAGAACACACTTGCTATGCACAGATTAACAGTGTCCCACAGCAGTATGCATTATAAGTCGTCGATCAGGAAAATATAATATTTCACAAAGTAAAAGTTTTAAGTTGAGTTTTAAGTAGGTATGATTTAAGATTTTTGTTTCTATTTATCATTTTCTATAAATGAGGTCCCCAACTAATTTGAGAAATAATAATGTATAACATATAGTTGTAAATTTTGTAATATAGAAAATAATAGAGTTCCTATATACCATAAACCTGTGAATATAAGTCTGGGCTTATATCTATCTACCTAGCAGTACAGTCAGATTTGTAAAATAGATTTTAGACATATCTTTATAATAATCTTTATACAAGTCATATAAAGAACACATTTTATGTGTATAACAAAATGTTGAAGTGTTTATTTTTGTAATATGTTCTTGTAATCTACCTTATTTTATTCTGGAAATGTATGTAAAAGAATTATGAGAGTGCATTTGTACTATATTTCAAATATTGTGAATATATATTGTGTTTTTATTTCCCAGTATATTTATTTTATGTTCATAAATATCATGACTCATGACTATGATTTTTTATAAATGGCCCAACCAATTTATATATAATAATGTATAATATATAGATTGTAAATTTTGTAATATAGAAAATAATAGAGTTCATATAATGTATAAGTTTTTAGGGTCAAATTGAATAAGTTTTTATTTATGATTTTCTATAAATTGTGGCCCCAGCTAATTTGTGATTGGTGTGTGGCAGGAGAGACTGAAGCAAGTGGGCGGAGCAGCATTCTAATATGTACAGACAGGGGGTTTTGAAGTAAATTTTATTTAGGTATTGTATTGTTGTCACGAGTGCTTGTTATGCACAGAACACACTTGCTATGCACAGATTAACAGTGTCCCACAGCAGTATGCATTATAAGTCGTCGATCAGGAAAATATAATATTTCACAAAGTAAAAATTCTTTGTGTATTATTCAATATATTTTCTTGTAACATTTGTGACGACACATTTCTTTCTTTGATGAGGCGCATTAAACCTTCCCTGGATAATTAATGCATTAGAGTTCCTATAATATATATGTACCTAATACAACTACATGCTACGTTGAGTTTGAAGTAGGTATGATTTAGGATTTTTGTTTCTATTTATGATTTTCTATCAGGTCCACAACTAATTTAAGAAATAATAATGTATAACATATAATTGTAAATTTTGTAATATAGAAAATAATAGAGTTCCTATATGTATGTTAAATAATATATATATATATATATATATATATATATATATATATATATATATATATATATATATATATATATATATATATATATATATATATATATATATATATATATATATATATATATATATATAATTAATTTGTTAACTTAAAATAAAATTAATTTTTTAACTTAAAATAAAAACTAATATATTATAATATATTAGTTATATATTATAATATATTATATATATATAATATATTATAATAATTAATATATTAAATAACTGTGCACCAGGGTATTTAACCATATTATTAGAGTCTTACAACCCTAGTCGCACTTTATGTTCAGCGTCACAAAATCAGTTTGTTGTACCCAGAAGTCCTAGATCCTCTGCAACTACTTATGGAGACATGAGGGCCTTTTCCATCGCAACCCCAAAACTATGGAACAGTCTGCCAGTTAATTTAAGAGAAACAATCTCGATCAACTTGTTCAAATCCAAAGTTAAGACACACCTCTATCAAGAGGCATTTTTATAGACTTTTATGCTTCATAATTCAATTGCTGTAAACATATATAACTTTTTACTTCGATTGTATGGTCGTTTTAAATTGTAAACGCATTGAGGCTCTGCAAAATGCATACTAAATGCTGCAATTATTATTATACAACTACATGCTATGTTGATAGGAATTTGAATAAGTTATCAGTAGGCACGTTTTAAGATTTTTGTTTCTATTGATGATTTTGTATAAATGGGAATGCCAAGCTATACATATAATAATGTTATAACATACAGTTATAAACTTTGTAATATAGAAAACGATAGAGTTCCTGGGCTTATATATCTACCTAATGGGTACAGTAA